ATCACAGAGAGATGAGAGCGATCACAGAGCTCAGAGAGATCACAGCGATCAGAGAGATCACAGAGCTCAGAGAGGTCACAGCGATCAGAGAGATCACAGAGATGAGAGCGATCACAGAGCGATCAGAGCTCAGAGAGGTCACAGCGATCAGACAGATCACAGAGAGATCACAGAGCTCAGAGAGGTCACAGCGATCAGAGAGATCACAGAGATCAGAGCGATCAGAGAGATCACAGAGGTCTGAGCGATCACAGAGATCAGAGCGATCACAGCGATCAGACAGATCTCGGACTTCAGTGATTTGTCACATACAGAATATAAAAGGAAGTACCGTTAATGGATGCGTCGTAGGGCTCAGCCTCCTCATAGTACCCCTCCGGAGAGTCAGCCTTGGCGGCAGGCACCTGTTCTTTCTCCTGGACCTGTGATGGAAACACAAGAGAACCTGTCATTCATCATCTCAGCCGAACATAAGCACCGTCCTCCAATCTCCGCATCCTGACAGGAAATCATGTCCGTCTATGACATCATTCTTCAAACAGGACTCCACTTCAGTCATAGGTAGAATTCTGGGGGGAGTTCCCAACCAGGGTACAAAGTGAGGAAGTGCAGGGGTTTGACTGGCAATACAGGGGCAGATATGTTCCAAAGAATAACATGAAGGGGTATCTATCCCACCTTGTATGACTTATCCAACATTTGGGACCCACCAAAGTCCTCATTTGATGGTGACACTGAAATACTTCTGCACTGTATACCGTGTACAGACCTATTCCAATAGTGCTTGTGGTGCTTGAAGTGATAACACGGATGGTGCAGTGTCATGGGATCAGCAAACGCAAACATCACCAGCCCTGAACTCCAAAGCGCAAAGTGTAACTGCTTTAATTAAAACATTATTATTATTATTACATAGTATTTATATAGCGCCAACAGTGTGCGCAGCGTTTTACAATACAAGGAAGACATTACAGTCACAATACAATTCAAGACAAGATGGTAAGGAGGGCCCCGCCCCTGAGGGCTTACAATCTAAAGGGGAGGGGCCAGTGATACATGAGGAGGGAGCTGTGTGGGGATGAATTGTTTGAGGACGTGATGGTTGAGTGGTTAGGTTGAGGTGGGATCGGCTCCCCTGAAGAGATGAGTCTTTAGGGATCGCCTAAAGGCAGTCAGAGTAGGAGACAGACGGACAGGTTGGGGTAGACTCGGGTTCCATGCGTCATGTAGCCAACGTTTCGGGGGCCACGCAGGGTCCCCGTCTCCGGAAAACATAGTGACCGGTTAAATACTTCTAACTCTTCACTCTTCTCCTCAGAACGGTGAAGCACAGCCTGCTCTCGGGGAGATTTTTATGGGGTGATAATGGGTGCTTTGGCCTGCCTGCAGGACCCATTACCGCTCCTAGAAGTTTAACATCAGGAGTGTCACTTTTCTCAGGAGGTTTATGGATACATTTAAATAGAACTGTTGCAAGATTGTCAGATACATCATCTCCCTCTGCACACATATGACAGCTCCCCAAGAACACTGAACATAACTTGATTTTTGCTGGAAAAGTTCAGTTCCAGGGAACCCAACCAGTCACAGTGTATACTGCCCAGGGTTTGGGGGCTCATGAAGGCACCTGCCATTAACTCCTGGGGCAACTCAACAGGTTAATGACGACCACCAACTTCAAACCACCAAAGTGATCAGAAGTAATCAATACGATTCCAATACATTTCATTTCTGGGTCTGCAGAGGCATTCCGTGCACACGGAGGGGACGTACATCTGTTGGGCTATTGAGGAATATATTTATATGAAAGTTTTTTTTGTACCCGGAGTTCAGATTTACCCAAAAAATGGCCAAAGATAGAAAATCAGTTCGAAGCCCGAGAAGAAACAGAAAAAACAACGAGAAAAAGGATTGCCCCTTTAATTCCAGACATTGAAACCCCCACCCATCCCCCACCCCTGCATCCTGGATAAAATGACCGTCTGAGCGGGAAATGACAGAGAACCGGCATGTTTTATCTCACAGATAGCACGTGATGCGTGTACACAGGACCCGCCGCGTCATCCATCGAAATGTAACGCGTTTCCATCTTTCCAAAGAGCTCCGTCCCACCGAAATGAGGAACTTTCCCGGAGATCAGGATTTCCAATACACTACACACGGTCCGAAAAACATATAACCCCGCCCCTTTAAGATACCACATGACCAGCCGGACAGAACATATCGTACCGTGTACAAATACACAAACAGACAACGCTTCTCTAATCTCGGTATCTGTCCTTATTCTGTAAGTATGGACTCTGCACAGTACCACTTCTCTTGTCCTGTATGCCGGGTGTCATTCTCGGTATCTGTCCCTGCCCAGTATGTATGGACTCTGCACAGTACCACTTCTCCTGTCCTGTATGCCGGGTGTCATTCTCGGTATCTGTCCCTGCCCAGTATGTATGGACTCTGCACAGTGGTAGTATATAGAATATGGATCTGGGTCAGTTTGCGCTCAGGGTGGACCTGTGAGGGTGGCGATCCGCGGCGTGGAAAGGTCTCGGCTGGGCCGGCATCGCTGTGTATAATGCGTCTGCTTGTTTTCTGGGGTCACAGGAACTGTGTGGGAACAGAGGGAGACAGATCTCGGCTCTGTATTATTGTCAGGGGGGGGGGGGGGGCCCCCCC